AAAGCAACCGTCTTTTATACACTAACAAATCGCTTTCTTTGCCAAATTTATTATTAGATTTCATAAACACTAACCATGCATAGACTTTAACCCTAACTACTGTTGTTAGGCGAAACTATTTTTGGAAAATGACGAAAGACGAAACTCTGGCGAAACGGCGAAACTCTGGCGAAACTGCTAAGCTCTGACGTAACCCTGGTAAATGGGGAAAGTCAAAATTTAGCGAATATCAAATTCTCTAAAACTTTGAAAAAGGCTGAGCCATGTTAGTGAATCAAAATATTTTGCGCGTGACTATTAAGACTTTGAAAAAGACTAAGCCATGTTAGTGATGATCAAAATATTTTGCGCATGGCTTTAAACACAGCATGTGCGCCTTTTGTTTGTATTTGAGTACTATTAAAAGAAAACCAACTTCAGGTTTTTAAACTTATAATTCAGCCTTGAAAATTCAAAGCCTGAAATCTTGTTTTCTTTTAGTAGCGCTTATTTATGCATTAATATTACGTACGTATTCATGTAAAATAAACCTATCTAAATCTTTAAATAAATTTATTTTTATATTGTTAAAGTATTTTTTCTTTAACATTTCATTGTTAAAACTTTAACTAAATGCTATACATACGTAAGTAGTCCGTTAACATTATTTTTACTGGCAATTATTTCCCGATGTTTTATTTTATCGAGCATTAAATATCAGGGTTAACTTCAAGAAAATAATTATGTTATCGACTTATAATAGACCAAATGTAGTAAAATTTAGACTGTTCAAAAAAGCATCATATATAGCAGCATAATTATACACATGTGTGTCAAATTAAATTTGTTAGGTTAAAATTAAATATTAGAGCTGGGTAAGAATCTATGCTAGAAGCAGATAGTAATATTTATGAACACAGTTTTTATTATTATCGCTTATTTTTCTGAAATTTATCTTTCTAAAAATATAATTTTTTGAACTCTATAATTCTAATATTTCTTTTTTTAACAAAACATAATTTATGTTCTGTTTATTTTACTTAAAATTTAGTTTACTGATAGTTTAAATTATCAATAGTTTAATTAATTCATAATTTATTTTATTAATTTATAACAAAGTAATTCTGGTTTTACTATTAGATTAGGTATAGAAATAAGTATAATTTTTAAAATACTCATTAATAAAATAAAATAATTGTTAAGTAAATTGATTAGTAAATTGATTGTTAGTAAAATAAAATGTTGATAAATTGATTATAAGCTTTATTAATCTATTGATCTAAATAAATTTAAAAATGTTTATATCATTATATTAACTAATTTATATTTCAATTTAAAAATTTTATTAATATAAAGTAATATATAATTACAATATTTGATTAAATTAGTATTATTAATATACAAATAATTAATTTTTTATTGTTATATTTTAGCAATTCAATATTATTTTTTAGAATAAGTTCTAGTAAAAAAATTGTTAAAAAAATTATCTTTAAGATAAAAATAGATAATCTATATTTAATTTATAATACAATTACCAATTATTAAAAATTTTTATTATAAAAATATACGTTATATTATAACAAATATAACATAAATAATATATAATATAAATATATATAGAAATAAACAGATTGATAATTACATTTTTATTTTTTTAATTACCTTTCTATTCTGACCTTACGTGACGAAAGTCACGTTAAGGTAATTATCACGAGGATCACCTGATCCCATTACCCAATAGGGTTTTGTGTAACAGTAATGAAATATATAACTGACCCAGGGGCTGTTAATAGTGGATAGTGTTTTGTCTCTTCGTTGCCCGATTTCTTATCTGGCTCTTAGTTGTCTGCCCACCCACCTACCACCAAAAAAAAAAAAAAAAAAAAGGTGAATACAGATTGTAAATGGACCTGCTCATTGACTTAATAGAATGCTCAATGACTTGTTCTTGGTTGCCTGAATTCTGTGGTGCAATATCTTGTGGGGTAGTGAGTCAAAAGTCTGTATATGATTATGAATTGCATGGGGCTTGCTTATTGACTCAGTAGTGTGTTCAATAACTTGCTTTAAATCCTTAGATTGTGATGCAACATATTTGAGGTTGCATATGACCGCGTGAAGACTGCTCATTGACTCAGTGGGATGCTCAATGACTTGCTCCGAACCTTCTTAATTGTCGAGTGTCATATCGAGGTGGAGGCGGTGTGAGGACTTGCTCATTGACTCAATAGAATGCTCAATGACTGGCTCCTAGCCTTCTGTATTAGGCTCGCATTGCTCTTTTACTGATTAATTTAAGAGGTTTAGGTTACCTTATAGCTGTAGCCAGTCTGCGATTCTCTGGCAAACCTTTGTTTTATACAGTTGAGAAGTTGAAGTTTTCAAATATAAAGGGTTTTACACTTATGTGACAGTAATGTATAAAGAATAAATATGCAATAAAGATGGGCACAAACGGAGAAACACAGCACACTTCCCTTATGTGTTTTCTAATTATAATATATGAAGTATAGATCCGAGTGAGAATAATTGCATCTTTTAATAATTTTATCATCTTTTATCAGTTTTTTGCTATCTTTTTTAGTTTCGCCACCTTTCAACAGTTTCACCAATTTCGTCACATTTCGCCAGTTTCGCCATTTCGCCATTTTAATTTTTTTTAGCGAAAGTCGAAACTAGTTTAGCCTTTCGTCTATGGTGAACTCTTATATTTCGCCTAACAACACTAACCCTGACATTAGAGTTTCCAGGATTATGATCGGCATAATATCCCGCATAATTCACCTTGTTATCAAATCGACCTTGATTATACTCTAACACTAGCCTAATTCCGGGTAGGATTATGCAAATAATGGCTAAATTATCATAACATAATACCTGGTGTACTTTAAATAGTTCTGAACGTATTAACAGTCATTGATTGTACCGGTAAAGCTTTTATAGCGTTGGTATAATGTCTATATGCCAACATAATATTAAGGATAGGAACTTGCCATTACAGCATTAAGTTAGGGTTCGAAAATATTATTTATACCAAAATTTTACAGGAGAATTTTTTATAATAGATAAAGGCGAGTTCATAATCTTGATTGGTCAGAAAACTTTTAAAGTTATTTTTAATACTAATTTCGGGGCTCGCGTAATTCGCATAATTTAGGATTTGCTACACGCATAATTTTGTAATGACCGGACCATAATTCTAGACACTTAATCTACATTAAGAATGACAAATGTTTTGAAACACGATCTTAAAAATCATGGTTGTTTAATTTAACTCTGTTAAAAAATGGGTTAATAAATAATATCGTAATTAGTATAATTGTTGATTGGGAGAGTTAACAAAATTATAGAGACAAGATGCCAATTTAACTCCAACGGTGAACGGGAAGATAATGATCAACTTGGAGAAGCGAAGATGGTCTTTTATAACTGTCAGAAGTCTATTGAGACAATATGATACTATTAAACGAAGCTTTAATATTAAGAGGGTGATAATGGGGTGATACAACTATAGGTGATGCTCTCAATGAGGATGATGAGGTAAAAGTGGATGGTTAGTGTTTATGAAATCTAATAATAAATTTGGCAAAGAAAGCGATTTGTTAGTGTATAAAAGACGGTTGCTTT